CTCCAACAATTTGCGTTTCACCTGCTAATACAATCTTATCTCTTGCTTTATCTCATAAAATCATTTCGATATACTCCTCTATTTGGATTTGGTCTTAACTCTCGTTTTCTTACCAACACCGAGATGGTACATCTGTGTCCTCATTTCAACTTTCATACCTAGAAGTACTCCAGTCACCATTCTCCAAATCCTCACTCACACTAACCTGTTGTCATCACTTCTTTCGTCTTCTAGATATCTCAAACCATAATGAATCAATTGTCAGATCATTCAGTCGGTACAACCACACCACAGTAACTAGATCACTATATCCATTATATAAGGTTAAAGGTTACCCTCTTCATCGAGGTTCCGACCATATTTGTGCAATGGGTGGTCCCCCATACAGGCTTTTAATAATATTGTTCACCATATAGCTCTTTAATATTTCCACCTCTCTCGTCCAGAAAGCACCCCTAATGCATTCTAATTCTTTTTATACATATCTCAAACACCACCATGTGCTTGAATAAACTATATATTAAACAATGCTCCCTCACCCGTTGCCTGACATACACATACGCTCTGTCTCAGACACTACTCATTACCAGCCGAAGTAAGATCTTCCCTATCTCCTACTTCTAATCTAATTCACCTAAACCACTGAGGCCTCACATTAATCCTCGATAGTTTAAAAGATAACAACGTCTTTGATATTGCCACGCATTTTACAGTAAAACATTACCGTCCCATCCGCATATTCTATAGAAAATACTATATCTGCATCCCATATATGCTCCTGACCCTATGCACCTTTCCTTCATCAGTAGATCAAAGCACTTTTCTCTAAATCTAAATAATCATGACCGAGAGTTTAAGAATAAGACTCTCCCTATCTTTATTACCTAAACATACTGTTGCACATAGGACTTCATAAATTGCCTAAAACTTTCTAACTCTGACACATTGACCTGGACTAGGCCATCTCTCCCTACCCACTCCTGAAGCCCTCGCCTTGTCCTCAGCTACGATCCTATTGCATCATACATGTTCCTTGCCTCCTAATTTCTGTCAAGTGGTTATACGTAACTTCTCCTTTCTCGTATCCACCTTGTTATCTTTACTGTGATACTAGGCTACCAGTACTACAACTCAATCCTTCAATATCTCCATATCTATACACTTTCCACAACAATCCATCTTTGTAACCCCAATTTTCCCTTTAGTTATAAAAAGGTCAACCTTATATCATGTACGTCCAGCAGCATAACTCTGCCAATCCCGACAACTAGGTAAAATCCAGGTCAACTCTCCCGTCATCTTATTATAACATGTTAGTAAACCAAAACAGTACGCAGTCTGTCAGCTGTCCATTAACACTACCATATCCCATCCACTGCCTTTTTAACGATTTTATTCCTTCTATGACTCACTCAGTTCCAGCTGCTTACTCCATTCACCTGCTCTATCATCTATATTATACGATATCAAAGATTATTCACATTTAGCCTCACCGTACCCATACACCCACCAGCACTAGGCTCTCATATTCCTCTATTTATAATCTCATCCCTATGCTACCTGACTCATTCTTCTTCTCATCTCCTGACTATGAATTCGCGTATTACTAATATCCTGGCCACGTGATCCCACGCTAACAATGATTAAACCGTAGCACCTCCCCTGCATTATCTTGCCTCTCAGTATACATTATACAAAGTCCTCACAAAAAGCTTGGCAACAATCCGAATGAGTAACAACAAATTAGTAATACCTTTCGCTTGAACTACCCTATCAAACTGCTTGACCCCTTACTACCGATCTTATTCTATTAGCTGTTCCTAACTCTAATCTGTTTTTAATGCCATGGTCACTAATACACATATCTTCCCATAAAATGGTCTCTTGAACTTGTTATGATAACTCCAAAAAATTTAGTTTAGCAATTAACTGTAACTACTAAATTTTGATTGACAGAGCTCTATCCACTTTCTGTCATATGTCTTTATCAACTTTTCCACACAAACCAAAACCATAAAAATCAATTTAAACAAAACAACACCCATAAAAACACCCACACACACTAATAATACAGCCAACACTAATACACAAATAAAAACCACCTACACAACAAAACCCCAACAACATCCCTAATTAAAACACCCCCCCAAAATCCAACAAAACACTACCAAAATAACTCTAAAAAAATTACTTTACTTAATTACCCACACACCAGTCCAAAAATATAACAATACAATTACCGAAAAAAGATAAAACAAACAAATATACCCCACAACCTCTCCCACAGACCATTCAACACACCAACTCCAATTACCCTACTCCCAAAATCCACAATACTTAAAAACACACACTTACCCTAAAAACAAAACTAAAACCCACACTCAACACAAACATAACAATAATACCCACCAAAAAACTAATCCCACCAACCACCTCCCCCAACCCCCACCTCTCAATTACATTAAATAGAACGAAACTCTATACTCCCTTTCTTTGCGCTCTCGCACCCTCCTCACACACCCCACACCACACTCTCCACAACCATCTTTTCTTCGATAAAAATAGATCTATTTCTCCCCATATTATAAACATACTCCAACCAAGTCGTAATGAATTCAATAATTATATTTATACGTTGCTCAACCTCCAAACCCCCCCCCACTAATCATTTCTTTATCGTTCAAAAATCCTAGTATTACCACCCAAAGAGATATAAACAAGAGAATAATTATTTTTTAATTTTATAAATTTTCAAACACCCCCAATATTTTAACACATAGTAATTATCCGTAATCACTCTCATAACTATCTCGATCATCCTATAGGCGTTACATGACCTATATGTCGGTGTGACGCTCCAAAATAACAATAAAACACTATCAAGCATCAAACCTTGTATATTTATATTTATCCTCTCCTGATCAATTATGTAATAGAATATCGCAATATCGTTTATCTAAATATCGTATATTACAAATATCTCCTCCCACCCCCGCCTCTCTTTCTCCACTCTCACGACCTCAAACTTGAGGCCGTTATAGGGATCTAGCCCCATTATACATCAATACCTGTTAGACCCCAAATTAACCTACTCACCTCTCCATAACATTATCTCTACCCACTTTAGCATTGAATATCCCCAACCACCATTTATCTCCAGTAAATATACTCAAAACTCCCATACCGCTATATTCACTCAACATTTCCCAGAATCTCTCTTGCTCCTCCTCACTCCCTTACTCTCCTCTGACCAACTACTCTCTATTCACACTTGTACTCCTCTGATCACTTTTCCTCTGTGCTGAGAACACATGAATCGTCTATATGACGCTTGACCTCCTCTCTCGTCTCTTTAGCTTTAGTCTTACAACCCCCGCTCATCTCTCGAACCTCTGACATTCACTGCTCTCCATCCTATCCTCTCTCTCTTCTTCCTCTACACTTCTCTCTATGCCGTTACATCGTATACGGCTAGACACTAGCACGCTTAGCTTAACCCACTTACTTAGCAATCTAATCACTCCCTTGATTCTTTATACTCAACTATAATACTCCTTGATTACTCAACTAACTGATACTCTGCTGTCCAGGCTTGAAGGGTCAGCATGAGCAAGGGTTGTTAGAAGGTGCGTATCAGACCGACATGTAGAGGAAATGTAGCCGAAAAGAGACTTTGATCTTCAAGATTGTGTATGCTGTCTGTAGCTGAGAGCAAGTACAGTGCGGGGTAGGTACCTAGACTATCAAGCGCCATAGGGAAGGGTTTTGGATGGCGCACTTGGAAGAGGTAATGTCATTTGACTTGTGATGATGTAATCTACTCGTAAGGGCCTCTTATGGACTTCCAGTCAGTCTCCAGAGCGTCGTTTGGATCAGGACATAAGTTGGAGTACGTCTAACCTTCCTACTTCATAGTCCACATTCTGCTCCTTCCCAAACTATATCGCACACGTGTAATACATTAGGACAAGGAGAACAATCCGCCCCAGTTAAAAGGTTTTTAAGCTACCGTTGTACGTAGCTCGGGAATGGCATTGGTTAGTGTGCTTAGATGCAAACTGTCGAACCAACTTTTACAATTAGTGTTGAAACGACTCACGCGATTCCTAGTTCAGGCCATAATCCAACGGCCAGCGACAGGACTTGAGTCTTCTCCATCGTGAAATGACGAGGTATACGTGATTTAGGTAATGGACACACCGGCAGTAGACGGGACAAGAAGTTTCGTTGATTATTACTGCAATCGTGGAGTTGGTACAGAACAGAAGGTTGCAGTGGGATGTCGCTCGTGATGGTGAGGATATTGAGATAGCGCAGTTGAATTTGTGGCACAGCCTAAGCATTCCCAACGGTGTGGCAAGGGCAAAGGTTACGAGCGGCACGCGATTTGTTTGATCTCTTATTTTCAGCTGTTATCTTTATTAGCTAACATTGTTCAATCTAGCCTCCCACTATTATAGTATCCAATTTTTAACATATGGCTATTCCCGATCCTCTACAGACTTTACCTGCCCCAAGCCTCTTTATCTTATTTTAGTTTTTTTTTTTTATTTTTTTTCCTCTTATTAAAGACAGTCTATGTACCAAAGATCCTAAACTGTCACGACAATCTCTTGTGCAACTGTCCCTTGATTCTATTTGGATAGCACAGCGAAACTGATTCTTCCGAGTATGACGAGATTTCTCCGCTTGCAAACAAAAATGCCATGTTTTTGCATTATGACACGTTGTCGAGACAAACGGATATTTATATCAATTTTTTATAAACACTTCTCTAACGGCACCCTTCCTCTTTTCAAAATTTCGTGACCTATTACCGATTAGATGACTCTATAAATCCATCAACCATAGACATTACGCTAAGAATGTATTGTCATACATAGCCCTTATAGCCCTGACCACATTTCACCTAGCGCTCTATCATGATAGCTTAGCTATTGTCGAACAGCCACCACGGGCGCACGAACCGCCCAGCTTGCTACTCATATATATGTGTCCAGGTATGATGTTGTAATAAGAGGGGCCTACAAGTCAGGACGAAAGATCGCTCCATTATCACTCTCCCAGGCTTTGCTGGTGTTTGATACGCATGTAAATTAATCTTAATATAAATAATCCAAAATAAACTTATTCCCCTTAGGTTCTTATAATAATTATTCTAACGACTTACATATGTGTAAATCCAAGTTCCATCTGCTAACTCTTTCCTTCATCTACGCTAGTGCTCCTCAACCGTATAACTAACTGTCGAATCACTCATCCCTCTTTTCTTAACTATGTGTATTAGCAATCCTCATTTAAGATCTTCTTAAGTGATTCTGTCGAAAAAACTCATACCCGTCTGTCACTTTCCATATCATATTGAGGACTAGTGGAATTTTACACTCTTGGGATAACGGAGCCAACCCCACCTTCCCTTTCGCACACACTCCCTCTCACATTAATCTTATGCTTTATTTTAGTCACTTTTTTACTACAGCTCTTATTAACATACCCCCTCCTCTTCATTCCTATGATTTTTTACAAACTGCTCCCACTCTACCAAGGACACTCACTTCCAGTTTTTCATATTACTATCTCACATTTAAAAAAGTATCATCTCCATACTCACTCACTCTAAATTATCGCAACGGAACTTTATCTCCGATATAGCACTATCAGCAACGCCATGTATACTCTATTCATCAGATACCATATACCCTATATCCCAACACAAACATTATTCCTTTCTCCGCAACTATTCTCATTGAAAAGACAAACTCCATTTTCTTACTCACTAATATCATTTTTCTATTAATCTCTGATTACACCACAAAGATTGAGCGAGTCTGCCGCTTCTGGCGGTACATAACCTTATCCGACTTTAATTTCAACCATCCAATCTAGGCTGATTTCTAACCCGTGTACACTTCTCTAAAACGTAGTCGTTTGTCCCTATCCTTCCTGCATTAAATTTGATGGATCTGACAATATGACTTTAAATATCTCATAGCTTTAAATTATTTACCGATCCATGAACAGACGTTGTCACTGTAAAAGCTACCCCCATCTGCTTCCTCGAGCCACTATTTATTTTAGTGTAGTGACTTTTTTCTTACAAACCACATACACTATGCGCGTTAGTTTTTCAATTTTTACCGACGCTGGAGACAAATAAACCTAAAGGACTCATATTGTGAGGAAACGAATTTGCATTTATATTCCAACTCGCTACACACACCGTACTCGCGTTATTAAATTATCCCTATTTCTCAATATACACAAAAGTGAGGGGTTGCTTGGGAACGGGGAAAAATACATTGAAACTTCGGATTCTGGCGATAATAGACGATAACAATCGACAAAAGTAAGCACACCCCCCCCCCCCCCCCAAAAGTAATAGTACACAGAATCACTCTAAGATTTAAAACAAATTCTAGATAAAGCTTATAGTGGCGAATAATATTCAAAGGAACAAAGAAAGTCGACAACAATAACTCTGTATCATGGCATCGTAAGTGTATTAACCTATACAAATTGTTTTTTAAATACCCAAGGAAAGCTTTAGGTATGCTGTAAACTTGAAAAAAAAGTGATTGATATGTCAGGAAGAAAGTTTTACTTGATATGGACAGTTGAAACACACTCACTATCTGTCAATCTTACCCCTTATCAGTATTTAACATTGGATTTAAAGTTAGTAGAGGTGGAGAGGCAAAGGTAATGGCCCCCCCCTCCTTATTTCTGCATTAGTGATACATGCCTAATAAATAGAAATAACATTTAAGTGTTAGTGTTTATGCCATAAGAATAAAAAGTAACACTTGTGTGCCGTGTTATGAAGATTTGTTGGTTAGATCAGCAAAAGGACTGTTTTATTGTGAAAGATAAAATTGGATGGGCTAATTGCGGATAGCTTGTCTGGAAAGCCTTGTAAGGGGCAGTCAGAATGGAAAAGGGTTTGACTTACCTTTTTATGCTCGGATTTCCATCGATTTATTGAACGTGTTCAAAGTGTATATAATTATTTTAACCTCAGTTTGTACGGGTTTCTAGATATACAAGACTAAAACAACCTGCACTGCTCTAACTAAGAGGAAGGAACGGGCAAAGAAGACAGAGAATGGCCAGAAAGATTCTCTGCGTCCTAATTCCCCACGTGCTGACAAATCTGATGCATCCGACAACGACATGAATGGTGATCCTGAAGATGTAAGTTTTTTTTTCTTGTTTATATATTTTCTTAGTTGGACTTGAGTCCTGGAAATGGGAAGTACAATGCCTGCTCTTTAAAGGAGGGGTTTGGGATATTGGCAGTTTGGAGGGATATGTTGTGTATCTTTATACGTATATGCTTCTAAACTGTTGTATTCTGAGCACCTCTGCAAAAGCAGTGATAATGTGCGAGTGTGGTGAAAGTGTTGAATGATGATGAAAGTATTTTCTTTTTGGGGATTTTCTTTCTTTTTTGAGTCACCCTGCACACTCATCTGAGTTTTCTTTGATTTTATCTTAATAGTTCTTGGTCTTATTAATTTTCCTTTTATATCCATGGAGAAGTGGAATAAGAATCTTTCCTCCGTAGCCTTGCGTGATTGTAGAAATGTCAACAAAATGACGGGAACACTGGGCTAGTGAATCCCTTTTATTGTAATGATTACTAAAAAGAAGTAGAAGAAAATTGTCAAAGTGGGAAGTCTGAATGTGCGTGGATGTTTGTGCAAGATAAGAAAGAGATGCTTGTGGATGTATGATGACGAAGAAGCTGGATGTCATGGCTTTAAGTGAAACAAAGCTGAAGGGGGTGGGAGAGTTTCGTGGAGAGAATAATGGGATTAGGTCAGGGGTTTCAAATCAGTTCAGAGCTAAAGAAGGAAGTAGAATAATGTTGAAGGATAAGCTATGGCAGGAAAAGAGGGAATATAAATGTAATTAATTCAAGGTTATGTGGAGTAAAATAAAGATTGGATGTGAAAAGTGGGTATATTAAGCGTGTATGCCCCCTGGAGAAGAGAGAAGTGTAGAGGAGAGAAGAGATTTTGGGAATGTTGAGTGAATGCGTGGGGAGTTTTGAATCAGAGTGTGAGAGTAAGGTGGTGGGGATTCAATGCTAAAGTGGGTAAAAATGTTATGCGAGGGAGTAGTAGCGTAAATCTTGGGGTGCCAGGGTAAATGTACTTGGGGGCCTTTATTTGAGCTATGTGTAGAAAGAAATATTGGTATTAGTAATACATATTTTAGGAAAAAGAGGATAAATAAATTTACAAGGTACGATGTAGCACGTAATGAAAGTAGTTTTTAGATTAAGTATTGGTGGATTAAATGGTGATGGGTAGGCTACAGGATGTACATGTTTATAGAGGGGGCAATGATATATCGGATCTTATTTTAGTTGTTGCTCACAGTTAGAGTAAGAGGTAGATGGGGAAAAGGAGGAAGTTGGCAACAAACAAGTAAGAGGAGGTGAAAGTGTATAAACTAAGGGAGGAGGAAGTTTCGGGTGAGATTAGGACTATTGGCAGAAAGTTGGGCTAGTGCAAAGATGAGTAGTGGGGGGGTTGAAGAGGGGTTGGTATAGTTTTAAAAATGCAGTATTTAGTAATGTGGGGCAGAAGTTTGTGGTTATAAGGGGGAACAAAGGGGGGTGGGGGCAGGAGGAAGAGCGTGATTGGTGGAATGATGAAGTAAAGGGTGTGATAAAGAGAAAAAGGTAGCTTATGAGAGGTTTTTACAAAAGCAGAAGTGTTATAAGAAAGCAGAGTATATGGAGAGTAAGATGAAGGTAAAGGAGAGTGGTGAGAGAGTGCGCAAAGGAGAGCTGATGATAGTGGGAGAGGCACTGTCAAGAAATTTTAATGAAAATAAAGAAAAATTTTGGGAGGCTGAGTTAAAACAAGTTAAGAAAGCCTAGGGAAAATATGGATTTGGTCAGTTAAAAACAGAGTAAGGGGTAGTTAATGATGGGGAGATGGAGGTATTCGGGTAGATGGCGAGCATTTTTGAGGAACTTTTAAAATGTTAAGGAAAGAAAACAGAGGCAGTATTTCATGAAATGGTCAGGAGGTATACAATCTTTTTTGGAGTGAGAAGAGCAGATTGCTAAGTGTGGGGGTGGTACGTGAGGTGCATTACATAAAATGAAAGGGGGTGAAGCAAGCTGGAACTGATGGGGATCATGTCAGCAAAATGTAAAAAGCAGGGGGGGATACAGTGTTGGAGTGGTTGGTACTTACGTTTAATAAATGATGAAAGAGGAAGGTACCTAGGGTTGGCGGAGAGCCATGTATAGTCCCATATATATAAAGGGAAAGGGCGACCAAGAGACTGTTAACATTATAGAGGAATTAGCTTACTGAGTATACCAAGGAAAAGTGTACGGTAGGGTTATAATTGAATGCCTTAGAGGTGTAAGAAGAATGTCTGGATTGCGGATGAGCAAGGAGGTTCTCAGTGCGGCTAGGGGTTGTGTAGATCGCGGGTGGTTTACTATTGAGCATATATGCTGGAACCCACCCTGATATCTTAGAGAAAAGATAGACAAGGAAGTTTATTGCATTTATGGATTTAGAAAAGGCTAATGTTAAGTGGATAGAGGAGCACTCTCGTGGCAGATGTTGCAAGTATATTGGAATTAGGTGGTAAGTTATTAAATGCTGTAAAGAGTTTTTATGAGGATATGAGGCCTCAGGTTAGGGTGTGTTAGAAAGAGAGGGCGCTCGCCACTACTTCCCGGGTAAATGTAGGTCTTAGGACAGGATGTGTTATGTCACCATGGTTGTTCTAATATATTTATAGATGGGGTTGTAAAAGGAAAGTAAATGCTAGGGTGTTCGGGAGAGGGGTGGATTAAAGTTTGGGGAAACAAATTCAAAATGGCGAATTGAGTTACTTCTTGATGTTGATACTGTCGCTTATGGGAGATTCTAAGAAAAAATTGCAAAGGTTAGTGGAAGAGTTTGGGAATGTGGGTACAAGGTAGAAGTTTGGAAAGTGTACATAGAAATGAGTAAGGTGATGAGGGTGTCAATGATTTAGTTAAATGAAAAATTGGATATCAAATGCGGGAGGAGGAGTATGGGAAGAAGTGAATGTTTTCAGATACTTGGGAGTTGAGTGTCGGCGGAATGGATGTTATGAAGGATGAGGTTAATCATAAGAATTGATGCAGGGAAAAAAGGTGAGTGGTGCATTGAGGTATATGTGGAGTCAAAAAAACGTTATCTATGGAGGCCAAAGAAAGGGAATGTATTGAAAATGTCTAGTAGTTCCATAACTCTATTATATGGATGTAAGCTTTGGAGTTGGTAAAATGCAGCAGCGAGTGAGACGGGTGGAGGCAGTGGAGTATGTCCTGTTTAGGGCAATGTGTGGTGTAAATAGTTTGGCAGAAAAATTCGGAGCGTGGAAATTAGGAGAAGGGGTGCGTGTTTATAAAAGTATTAGTCAGAGGGAGAAGAGGGGTTGAGGTGGTTTGAGTCATTAGAGTGAATCGATCAAAATTAAAATGTCATGGAAACATATAAATCTATAGGCGGAAGGAAGGAGGGGATAGGGGTCTTGCTAGAAAGGGTTGGAGAGATAGGTAAAGGGGGTTTTGTGGGAAAGGGGCTTGGACTTCCAGCTGCATGTATGATCGTGTTTAAATTGGAGTGAGTGGAGACGAATGATAATTGGGACCTGGTCGATCTGTTGGTAGGGTGTGCAGGGTTTTATTTTGTGATGGGATTAAGGGTAACCGGTTATTTTCTTATTGTCGGACTTTTGGTTGGATATGGGAAGTCCCATAATGCCTGCAACTTTTTAGGAGGGTTTGGGATTTGTGGATGTTTGGAGGGAGTGTGTGTTTTGATGGTATAGGTGTAGGCTGCTTGAATCGCGCTCTCTTGTTATTGTTGTGAGGTGATACGAGGATTAATATGGGAGTTTGTGATAGTGTGGGGGTTAGGGGGGTAGGATGATGAAAGGTTTTTCTGGGTGGGGTTTTTATGTCTGGGTGGGTGGGGATAACCACGGACGCGGGGGTGTAGGAAGTCGGGGGGGGTTGTTTTTTTTTTTTTTTATTTTTTTTGTGTGTGTGTGTTGTGTGTGAGTTGAGAGTGTGTCGTGGGCTCGTTGTGGCGTGGTGTGTCGTGGGTGTCGGTTTGTTTGTAGTTGTGCTGTGGTTGTTTTGATTGTGTGTGTGTGGGTTTTGTTTTCGTGTGTGTGTGTTTCGTTATAGTGTCGTGTTGTGCTAGAGGCTTTTGTGTGTGTGTGTGTTTGTTTGTTGTGTGTGTTTGTGTGTGTGTAGTGTTTTGTCGTTGGTTGTGTGTGTGTGTGTGTGTGTGTGTTCTGTGTGTCGTGTGTTTTGTGTTATTGTGTGTGTGTGTGTGTTTGTGTGTGTGTGTGTTTGTGTGTGTGTGATTGTGGTGTGTGGTGTGTTTGGTGGTGTGTGTTTGTGTTCGTGTGTGTGTTTTGGTGTGGGTGTGTTTGTGTGTGTGTGGGTTTGTGTGTGTGTGTGTGTTTTTCGTGTGTGTTTGTGTAGTGTGTTCTGTGTGTGGGTGTGTGTGCTGTTTATGTGGTGGTGTAGTGGTCGATTTGGGTGGTGTGTGTGTCTGGTGTTGTGTGTGTGTTTGTGATGTGTGTGTGTGTTTGTGTGTTGTGTGTGTTTGTTGTGTGTGTGATGCTTTTTCGTGTGTTAAGTGTTTTTGTCAGTGTGCTGTGTGTGATGTCGCTGTCGTCGTGGTGTTTGTGGTGGTGTGTTCTGTGTCGTGTGGTGTGTGTTTGTATGTAGTGTGTGTTGTCGGGTAGCTGGGTGGTGTGTGAGTGCTAGCGTGTGTGTGGTGTGTGTAGTGTGTGTGTGTGTGAGTTGGGTGTGTGTGTGTGTGTTTGTTGTGTGTGTGTGTATTGTCGTTCTAGTGTGTGTTTTAAAAGGGAAAAGTGAGGTGTTGGTTTTTGGGACCTACACTTTGGGGAGGTGAGTGGGGGAAATTTTTTGTAGATTCAGGGGAAACCGGTTAGCCAGACTTTAATCCTGGAGGTGGGAAGTACAATGCCTGCACTCTAAAGGAGGGGTTTGGGATATTTGCTGTTTGGAGGAACATCTAAACTGTTGTATCTTGGCACCTCTGTCAAGACAGTGATAGCATGAATGATGGTGAAAGTATGTTTTTCGGGTCACCCTGCCTCTGTAGATGGCCAACATTAAGTGTTGCAGAAACTAGGAAAAGGATAAT